TTATCAGTTTTTTAAAAGATTCCTTTAGCTTTCTTACATAGGCAATCACATAATCTAATAGACAATTTCCTTCCCTTTCATGGATTTTTCCAAAACCCGTGTGACCTCTAAATCCTTTCATTATCATTCACCTTTCAGTATGTTAACTGTAGATTTTTCTATAGATGCTGTTTATTGGGTTGAGGCATTTCCTTTTTACTCCTACTTTGCTGACAGTTTTATCATGAATGAGTTAGAGATTACTACCTTTTTTTGCATCTAGTGAGATGATATCTTTTTTTTCTTTTAGCTTGTCAGTATGGTGAATTACACTGATTTTTGAATATTAAGCCAACTTTGAATTCATGAGATAAATCATTTTTGGTCTTGATGTATTATTCTTTTTACAAACAATATTATTGGATTCTATTTTCTAAGTAGAATTTTTGTTAAGAATTTTTGAGTGTAAATTCATGAAGGTTGTTGGTTACAGTTTTCCTTCCTATCTCTAATAATGCAACCATTTTTCTGGATCATGATCCTTGTGTAAATTAACATAAAAGCTATTAAATCACTTCTGTAGCTTGGAAAAACACTGCCAGGAACATTTCCAAAGCACATGGGCAATAAAATATACTTAGTATGGTTACTGAGGCAGAACAAAGAGAGAGACTGAGAAGGAAATCTGTATAGGTTTACATTTCTGCCAAATGAAGTTTTATAAATGTTGCACTTACACAGCTCCCAGATAAATTCAATGTTCCAAAAGGCAGGGGAAGTTCCTTACTCACAAGGTGTATAAAGAAAAAGGAGGCATGTGAGGAAGGGGCACATTTCAGCGGGATACAGTAGTAATTCCTGTAACCCCTACACTTGAGCCCAGCCTGGGCAGCTTAGTAAGACCCTATCTCAAAAACTAAAAAAGAAAGAATGGAGATGCAGCTCAGTGCTGAAGCCCTGGGTTACTTCCTCAGTACTAAAAAGAAAAAAGAAGAGCTCATGTCATGAAATTTTCTCGTCCCCACCTTTTCTTAAGTAAGAAAAAGGAAGGACAGAAACTTCTGTTGTCCTAGCAGTACACTAGTCCCTTTGCATAGATGGTACTGGATAGGGAAGATTTTCTGAAAGGCAGAAAGAATCCACAATGTTGACTCCCAGTACTGTAATTCCAAATTGCCTATATGAGCAGACTCTAAGGAAAGAGTCTTTTTTCTTTTTTTTTTTTTTGAGACAGGGTCTCGCTGTGTAGGCCAGTCTTAAGCTCTCTTTATAGCCCACGCTGGCCTCAAACATGCAACGATCCTCCTGCCTCAGCCTCCCTAGTGCTCAGATTACAGGCGTGCAACACCATGCCTGGCTGGAAGGTAAGATTCTTTAATGCTCTTCATCTAAAGCACTGATCTTGCCAAGTAAGACTCTTTAGGGCACTTCCTTTAAACAGAAGGGCACACAAAACAGAGTTACCTGGACAGGGAAGAGACCCGAAACCAGGGCATCTAAAGATGGGTTTGTACTTTTCCTGAAAAGAAGAAGATTAATGAGGACGAGTGGAGTGGGTGGAATAGCATTTTTAATAACTGAAAGACTTCTCTTTATATTTGGACTAGTAAGCAACTCTGGCGACATACAGCTTCACATGGGAGAAATAGGGTCAAAGGTGGAAATTACAGAGTGCAAGATGTTAGCTCACCCAGGCCATCCAGGATGGATGGATATAGGATGGCTACAGGATCCAGGTCCTTTGCAGTGACCTTGTTCTTAGAGCCACTGCCCCTCCGGAGCATGGGCAGGGGCGGAATTCTGGGCCCTGTAGGAGAAGGAGTTAGATGCTGGAGAGAGAAGGTCCATCCCCACTCAGAGAATCTGTGAATGGGCTGTTCTGCCTCCCCTCTCCACACAGGCACAGCTGAATACAGCGTGGTGGGGACGCACGCGGTACACACGTGTAGCGTGTATGTGTCTGAAGGAAGCTGCCCAAGGGGCTTCCTTCTCACTCTCACTTTGTGCAAGGACAGCTGCTGGCAGGGGACTCGGGGAACCAACAACCAGTTGCATGCGAGTCCTGGTGAATTCATTCTGGTCTCCTCAGGACCTACGCGCTGTGGGCCTGTCTGTCCTAGGCTGGGAGAAGGTCCCCTGGCTGCAGGCCTGCCCGGCTGCCATCTGGGGGCCTTCAAGGATCATGGGATGGAATGGAGCAGTGACTAAGAGGATTTGGATGCTGGTTTGGTCACATTGCTAGCCACGTGAGCTTGACTAAATTTCTGTTCCTTCTTTTCCCTTTGTGTACAACAGCAGTGATAAAAGCTACCTTAAGGACTCGTTCTGAGAATGAAAGGAGACAACAGATGTGAAACACCCAGGGAGCTCCTGGTGCACAGTAAACCCAGAAGTGGCCATGGTTAGCTCTGCCCACGCGTCCTGCGCAAAGCGGGATGTGGCTGCAGGCGCTGGTGGCTCTGATGACCTGGGGGTGAGTGACGTTTATCTCATTCACCCCCAGGCAAGAGCAGAAGCTGCAAAACATAGCAGCCCTGCTGCCTTCTTCCCTGTTGGATTTCCGGGCTGCACGTGCTGCCTGGTATAGCGTCTCTTCTCACCCGCAGGCAGTAAACACAAAGTGAATGAAACAATCAGTGCACACAGAAGGAATGAGGGTTGCCTCCCATCAGGGTGACCATGCAGCTACACCTAGGACAGGAAAAGAGACACAGAAATAGACACACCTCATTGCTCTCCAGGCCCCTGTGAGGGCCGCTGGTGGCATTAGGGATAGTCAAGGGTGGCCCAGCTTTAACTGTCCACTAGACCAGCACAGGGGCTGACAAGGCCCTTGAGGTAAGAAGTATCTGTCACTGCCGTTCCCGATGTATGGGTGAGGAAACTGAGTCAAGGAGTTCAAGTGACCAGCTCCCAGTGAGGCGGCCGCATCTGGTGATAATGTCAGGTGCCTTCTAACTTCAGGAAGGCAGAAGAGTGATTGACACGATCTTTCCCTGATGGAGAAGCAACTGCGCATCTATTACGCTATGTCTGCTGCTGAAGAGAAAGCCAGCTTAGCTGCTGCAGGCTCGCTGGTAGGCTGGCTGGATGGGACACCATGTCCCAGCTCCTTCCCTTTTCCCCAGGCTAGGTCCTCCCCACTGGCCCCCTCACTGCCTGGGACTATTGACTTCAGCATGTAGCCACAGGGGGTCAGAAGCTCTTTGAAAAGCCACACCAGTTGGCTTAAATCTGAGGTGCGCCTAGGAGTGGCGTTGCGGCTGGTTCTTAGTCCTGGACTCCGGTCCCTCTTCCACCTGGGCCTGCCTGCTCTCCCCAAATCCTGGGTCTACAGCCCAGGCTTCAACATCTGCATCCAGGGACACCAGGGCCTGCGTGGGGTGGGGCGGGGCTGCTGCTGAGTTCAGAGGGACAGCTTTTTGTGGTTTCAGCTGGTGTGAGAATTCCTCTGGCTGGGCTAAGCCAGCCCGTAGAAAATGCACCCTGGCAGCTGCCCAGCTCCCAGCCAAGCTCTGGAGATGAGACAAGGAAAGGAATTCCTTGTGCTGCTAAGGATGGAAAGGGGGTGGGACAGGCCAGATGGTGGGAGGCTGGGTGTCCCCGAAGAGGACGAGAGGACGCTAAGGAACTCAGGTTGTCTGCGGATCAGTAAGGTGAGGCAAGATGGTCTTTCCCAGGCCTCTGGGTTCTTCAGAAAGTTCTATAGAATCCAGGAGCATTTGTTGGGAGTGATTTTTGTGGTGGGTCCTGAGGAAGCGTCAGAAGTCAGAACTTCCAGTGGGAGATGAGGGTGATTCTGGCTGCACTCAACCTGGGTCGTGTGGTCTGAGAGGGACCCCACAGCACCGAGTCCCCAGGCCCTCAGAGTCCGGAGGGCTCCACAGCACTGGAAGGAGGCAAGCAGAAGTTCCCTAATCTTGGGGAGCGAGAGGGCCTCCAGCCAACCACTCAACCCTGAAACTGGAAAGTGAGAAGAAAAATGGGTAGTGTGGCTTAGCTCTATAAATACGACATTAATTATAGCCATTTGTACAAACCACTTCCCATGAATGCTTAATTGCTTGCCATGCGGTATAATAACCATTATGTACTGTGCGAACTACACGCCAGATGAGCCGAGTTCTGTATGCTCTGTGCAGGCCTGGCTTCCTGAGGCCTTGCTTGGTGGCCTGGCAGTCTGCCCACAGGGACAGCGGCTATACTCACAACTTAAAAAGAAGTAAGGGTACCGACTCAAGGAGCGGGTGATTCAGTCCATCAAGGCGGGGAATACCCTTGACATTTGCTAGCTCAAATATCAGTACAGTAGCTACTCCTTGGGGCCTGGCCAAAAAGGAGAATGTGAATGCTAACTCTTTGTATCTATTTGCCCCTTTTTTTTCTTTAATTTAGGAGGCCAATAAAGCATCTTCACCAAAGCAAACAGAGTCCTACACACCGCTAAAACAGACCTTGAAAATCCATTCTGAGCTAAGGTTAGTAACTCTTCCCAAGCCCACGCTTTAGCAAGGAGAATAAAATACGAGGCTGGGCGTGGTGGCGCACGCCTGTAATCCTGCACTCGGGAGGCTGAGGCAGGAGGATTGCTGCAAGTTCGAGACCAGCCTGGGCTACAAAGTGAGCTCAAGTCCAGCCTGAACTGCATAGCAAGACCCTGTCTCAAAAAGACCAAAAAATAAAAAATAAAGAGAATAAAATAAGAAAGCAGTGTCTCTCGGTGTCGTTAATGAAGACAGCAGATGAAAAGGCTCTTCAGCGGCTCTCCCTGAAGAGACGGAGAGGGAAAAGGTCCAGCTCACATGCAAAGGGGCTGTCTCCACCAATCTGCCACACTCTGCAATGCCTCACCACGTGCCAGCTCTGGCCTAGGCCCAGTGATGGCCGAGTGGGGGCGGGGTCACACAAACCTTGTTTCTGGCTTCAGGGAGGTGGTGAGTGGGTTGGGTGAAGGACTACAGGGAGCAAGGTAAGCCCAGGGAACAAGAGGAGTGTGCAGTGCGTTAGCAAAGCAAACTTACTCCTGCAGGTCTCCTGGTCCGCGTTGAGAATGTAGCCTTGTTTGCACCTACACACGTACGAGCCGGGCGTGTTGATGCAGAAGTGGGCGCACTTGTGCTCCAGGACGCTGCACATGTGGACAGCTGAAAGGGAAGACACAGGAAGTTAAGGGGGCTGTGATGCCTTCGTGAACCTCACTCCTCCCAGCAGTTATTCAGATCCTACACTGTAAACAAGCTGCAGTCCCTACCCTCAAGGGGGTTTCCGATCCACTGCAGACAAGAGAGGGCCAGATAAATGGCATCAGCAATATATAAAGAGCCATGCAGTGTAGAGGCAAAGGAAATGGTGTTGCCGGGCATAGAGAGGGGCACACGTACCTGTAATCCCAGCACTAAGGAGGCTGAAGCAGGAGGATTCGTGCAAGCCTGGGCTACATAGTGAATTCAAGGCCAGCCTGAACTACATACATACGGGAGTGAGACCCCGTCTCAAAAGGTGGGGAAATTGTTATGCTGAATTACTCTCTATAAAGTTGCTGATAGCTGATTGTTTTTAACCTATAAAAACAAAAATTTCCAATTCAATTTAATAACAACACTCAGAGGCAGGAAGATCAGAGGTGCTCTGGTTAATAAGTAGATTTTCTGTAGGCAGCAGTGGGGTGGGAGGAAGCGCTACCAATTAAATAAGAATGTGTTAAAGAACCAACAGTTTCCCAGGATTGTTTGTTAAATTCTAAGAACAGTGGAATTTTTTTAAGCATGTAAAAGTATGCAAAGATATTTTTGGAGTAACAGTGCATTCATATGCTTCACATTGCCATAATTTTTATGATTCAGTTTAAAATATTTCTGCGTTTTGTTTCTGCAGGACAGTACTTCAGCTTTCAGATGCACAGATTTTTGCGTTATCAGGAGCCCATCAGGGTCTCTTTTGTTTTCACAGCTTAATTTATGATTTCCCTCAACATAATGCAAGTCGAACATATTTAAAATTAACAAGCATCACTGCACACAGAACAAGTTGTGCAAAAGTTCTCACAAACAGAAAAGACGCCTTTATGCAAAAAATAATTTTATGAAGCTAAAGTAAAGGGAGCATTCAAAAGCTAAGAACAATCCCATTTATCGAGCACTTAGAAAAATTTGGCTATTGATGAAATTTATCTTACGTATACATCACTATATGCTGGGCAATACATGAGGTAACAGAGTAAAACTGTTTCGTACAATTTAGAATTTATTGTTCTGAGTGTATGGCTATGTTTCAGTCCCTATTAGTATACAATAACATTAGGAAAGTTTGCTGATTAACTCCAATCGTCATTTTTACTACGGAGTAAGAGACACATCTTTTTTTGTAACCCTGAGCAATTTTTAAAACTCTTTATATAAAATGGGAATACAAATAGGACCAACCTCATGAAGGCCTTGTAAGGGTTAAAGTATCCAAGACTGTAAAGTAGTTACAGCCGTGTCCAGTCCCTGGAGGAGGCTGGGTACCTCTTAACCATTTTATAGCAAAGGAAAAGTATCATGGTGTTTTACTTGAAGTGTTTAGGATTAACTCCAAATGAGTAGATTTTCTGTAGGCAGTGGAGCCGATCCTTGTTGTTCAAAGTCCGTATCTGCAAATCTGCCTACTCACTTAAATTTCTTTGTAACCCCAGATCAGTACTGATGGCACAGTCACAGCTCTGCGTGAACATGCTCAGAGGGGTGGAAAATTTGTCACCTGGTATTCATGTCCTCAGCTGAAGTCAAACACTGTTTTCTTAATTTAACGCTCACATTCCATACTATAAACAAATGTCTTTTCCATGGTCTATTTAGTGTCGTGTTTTTTTGCATTTTTGTCCTTTTTTATGGGTGATTTTGCTATTTGAAATGGTGAAGTGCTGTCTAGGGTTCCTAGGTGCAAAAAGGTCTTTTGGGGAAAATATGTGTTAAAATAAGCTTCCTTCTGGCACAAGTTCTATCTTTGCTAGCCATGAGTTCCATATTAATGTATATAATGAATATTACTTGATTAATATTAATGGATATAATAATACATATTGAATAAATTGCCTTTAAATTGAAACACATGTAAAACAAGGTGGGGGCCAGGGTTATAGCTCAGTGGCACAGTGCCCGGCAGACGGAAGGTCCTGAGTTCCATTCCCGGCACCAAAAAAAAAAAGCAAGCCGACAGATTGACCCATTGACCAAAACGTTACAGGAGTGGAGGCTCACAGGAACCTAAGCCGGCTTTCACGAAGGATCAGAGGTTCGGGACTCCTTAATTCAGTGTTCACAACGACGCTATGGAACAAAATCAACTCAAACAGGGGCTGGGGATTTAGCTCAGCGGCAAAAGCGCCTGCCTGGCAAGCGGAAGGTCGTGAGTTCGGTTCCCGGTACTGAAAAAAAACAAAAAAAAAAAAAAAAAAAAAATCAACTCGAACAGTAAAAACCAGCTGTGTCATAGACTGGTCCAGCACTATGAGATCTAGTCCACCTCTCTTGATTCTTTATCCATGGGTCATGTGGCCACTCCTCCTTTTATGCAGCCCTCTCCCCGGTGGTCAGCAGTCGCGCAGCTTCAGGGCTTCACTTGCGCAGGGCTGAGACAGCGTTCCCAGGCGCGGCTCCCAGAGCGCATGCGCACCACTTCTCCAGGCCGGGCGCCTGGCTTGAATAGCTGCGGCCTCGGCGCCTCCCAACAAGGCTCACCCAGCCAGGCATGAGAGGCGCATTCCTAGCCCCTCCAAATTACCACCCTTTCAGCTTTTCAGAGGGGGGCGCCTTGCGTTAGGATTTATATCTGGATGTCTCCCCAAAGCCTCCCGAGCTCCAACGTGGAGCTTTCAAAAGGTGGCTGGATCACGGGGATCTAATAGCCCGCTTGCTATTAGAAGGCAGGGTCGGGGGAGGAGGACGGTCACTGGCCTGGAGGGATGGCATCTGCCTCCCGGCTCCCCCCGGGGCCCCTCTCTGCTTCCCGCCATGTGGCGAGCAGCTGGCCTCGCAAGGCCCCTCCGCCAGGCCCCTCTGCCGGCCCCTGCCTTGGAGCCAGTGGAACTTGGACTGAGACCTCTAAACTGCGAGCCAAAATAAGCGTGTCCTCCCTCCATTTCCAGGTGGGAGGAGCTAGGGCACCCTGCGACCTGGAAGGCTGTCTTGTCTCCCTGGACTGCAGGAGTGCAGTCAGCCCCAGGACCTCAGCAAGGGCACCGTCTCCCTGGGTGAGGGCAGCAGTGTGCGGCCAGCCCCACAGCCATGTTGCGCAGGCCGCCCAGGATGAGCCTGGTGTCTGCCGCCTTAGGGGACCCTGACTGGGCAGGGAAGACAGGAGCCGCGAGGCTGAGAGCCGAAGCGCAGTGGCCGGCGGGCAGCATAGTGGGGAGGCGGCGACTTCTACAGACGCAGCGCCTGGAAGCCCAGCTGTAGGAGCCGCTTCCTTTCCCTCAAGTCCACTTTCCTGACCTGGCAGATGGAGATCGAGGAGCTGTTGCACAGGTTTGGGAGTGGCAGCTTATGGCTCCGGTTTATTTTGGCCAGGTTCCATTTAAAAAGAAACTAGAGGGGCTGGGGATTTAGCTCAGCCGCACAGCGCCTGTCTGGCAAGCGCAAGGTCGTGAGTTCAATTCTTGGTACCAGAAAAAAAAAAAAAAAAAGAAACTGGACTCAGGAGGTTGTGACTCGGTTCCATGAAGAGCACTGGATTAGGAGCCAGCAGCCTGTACCCCAGTCCCCTGCTATTTGGTCAGCATAGCTCCCCATTTTCTAAAAACAATGCTTCTTTCTCATCACAATGCCTGGCAACTGTGGGAACTGCCAGCCAAGCCTGGTGGTGCACACCTGTAATCCCAGCACTCGGGAGGCTGAGGCAGGAGGATCACCAAGAGTTTGAGGCCACATAGTGAGTTCAGGGCCAGGCTGAACTGTAGTGAGACCCTGTCTCAAAAAAATAAAAACAAAAAAGTTTGTGGGAACTCCCTGGTGGTCTGAGGTGGCCCCAGTCCTGGCCCCTATTGACTGGTACAGTGTTTGACAATCAGAGTCTTTCGTTGGTGTTGAGGAACTAGCACTTAGCCAAATCTGGGGGGTGGGGGCCTCAAACTGAGGGCAGATAAACCTGGGGGCCACCCTAGGCCAGGAATCCTGCCCCATGGACCAGAAAAGAAGGGAAGCAATGAAAGCAAGCCACGTTCGTGTTTCTATAAGTGATGTAATACGGTCCCCTCCTTTTCAAAGTTAGTTCAAGTTGAATTCATTCTTTCAACCAAATGAATCCCACACGTTTTCACTAAACAGCGTAAGATTCTTCCCTGTGGCGATGAGTGCTGAGTGACTTCGAGAGCATCTGGGCCTCCTGCCTTGCTCCTCCCAGGGCCGGGCCTCTGAGAGTGACCAAAGGGGACACCACATCCTGCCTGCTCCACCAGCCTGCTGGGCTTGGCCCCGGAGCCCCATTTCTCAGAAGGTGTTCTGGGTTTCAACTCAGTCAAGGCTCTGCGTTCCGAGGGAGGAATAACTGGTCAGCAGTCTAAGTCATTAATACGATTAGATTTTTTTCAATTAGGAAATAGAAGAATAAATGTTTTTTTAAACAAAGGCATGAATGACTCAGAATGTTCAGCAAGGTGGGGTTGTCTGGGATCTTAAGGGAACAATTTCGGGGAATATGAAGCCATGTCTGTGCGGCCAGTCTGGTCCCCCCCACCCCCCGCTTCCCTACAGGGCCTCAAAGGGGAGCATGAGTGTAGACTTTGCCCAGTGGATCAGGGTGTATCTTCAGAACACTATGAGGGGCTTAGATCTTGCCCAGCCTGGGAGGGGCAGGGCTGTTAGCGTAGGAACAGCCTGGCTCCAGTTCCAAAATGCTAGACGAGGCTGATAAAGCTGGCACCAAGCGCTTAATTAAGCACAGCCCGGCCAGGTTGCGATGAGTCACCAGACTGCAAGGACAGGCAGGCAGTTGTCAGCCCTGAGAGACAGTTCTCTCTCACCGGGCAGCAAAACGGGCCACACTCGGGCTGTGGGGCCACCAGTCATCTCGTAGACAGGACCTCAATTCACAGGACACCTGGCCCGCAGGTCTCTCTGGTGGTCTGTGAGGTGGCCTGAGAATGCGACCTGAGGATTCTCTCCTGCTG